GTCGTGGCTAAAGCATTGCGGGTTTTGGCTAAAGCTTGATGGGAAAAGGTTTAGAACTCTGGCAGTAGCATGCCCGCCGCATATTGGTTCCGGGTATTATTCCCGATACTTCATCATCGCATGACTGTGTTCGTGATTAGAATGTTTGAGGCCTTGTGTGCATATTTTTAATCGTGTGGATACAACCCATATCAGACCAGAATGCTTGAAACAGTACATATTCACAGTTAGATTTTGCACTCTGTGTTAATCATCGAGGTTCAGTTTCTTTCCCCTAAAAATAGGTTTAATTCCTGTCCACCTTAAATATTACTACTAACCTTGTGTGCATTGCGCGTTTGACAGAGATCAGTAAAGTACGCTTCACCGTATTTTGTTGTACGATTTTGCCGCGAATAGGCTTTTAACTCGGATCTACAAATGAGTGAATGAGCGAGAGGAAAAGCCACTAAACTTGCTAGAAAAGTCTTCGCGTGTGAGGGCGGTGAATTAGCTGAAGAATATTTTTTATGAATGCAATGTGTTTGAGTAGATAGTGTATGTCTGATCACCACCGTTATATCTAATGGTAAATGACTAAACCGGTTATATTGTATTACAGACTTCTTAATAAGATATACTTACATTTTCAGTCCAGAACACTCTTAACATTATCACGGATGAATACATACAAAAAAATGCGTGCGGAAGGAAGAGAAAAAGTAGTTAATTCAGTCTACAAGCTCAATAGCAGACCAAATGTGGACTTGAGGAATTTTATAAATCTTAATTCTCGCAGGTATAAACCAAAAGCTCCACAGTCGAAGAATGAGACCTACCGGCAGATGAGTCGGAATGAACCGGATACATGTGCGATCAACGAAGATAGTTTTAATAAGAAGTTCGGAAAAATCAATCGCAAATTTTCGCTATCGAAGTGTCCATGAGAAAAGCGAAAAGAATAATGACGGCTAAGTTACGTCGAAGGGCTATGGGTTCGTTTTGAAGCTAACTGAGGAAGATGACGGGTGCAATAAAATATAGTGAGTAATGCACTGTGGTCAACAGAAGGGAAGATAACATACTGTTTGGTAGTAAATAGATATGGAAGAACAAAGGTCCGAGTTTGCCAACGGCGGACCACATGCAATTTCCATGGTAAAACCAAGGTAGTTGATAGTGTCCATTTTACAAGCGGGAGGACCATCAATGCACGAGGCTTCATTGGGATGTAAGGAATTCTAATCAGCGAATAGAGATTAAGTTATGGGAACAATTATTAGTGGCAGCAAGATTGCCAGATAAAGAGAAAAATCAGACTGGTTTGTATTAGCATGTTATAGTAGTTGCATCTGCGTAGTTGATAAGTTTGGCAGTCCATGGAACAAATAAATCCCTCAAGCGGTCGCGAATAAGCACGGAAAAAGACAGCATATCGGTGAGCAGGATATTTTTGCCCCGCTTGGTGCTCTAAACTCTATCAGTTAGTCTTTTAACTACGAAAGAATCTGCATAGGGCAACTAAATAACCAAAGCCGGCGCACGAAAGTGCAGGTTTAATGGCTGTAAGAACTGGACTGAACTAAATAACTAATTTATGGTTGATGGTAGATCGAGGGACCGAATCGAAAGCAAAGGAACAATCAAAAAATATACAACAAACAGACTTCATTGAGTGTCGCAGAAACTTAAAAACAAAGTGAACAATAGATGATAGAGCGTCTGAGATAGGGTATCCATTATTGACCAGTAGAGTACGTTTACTGTGCCCAAAATCACGTATCTGAGGTTTTTATAGACTAAGGCTAGGTGCCGCCTGCAGGAAAACTTCGA